TTCCCCTCAAAGGTTGCCCAGAAGTGAATTTGCCCCTGGCCTGAAAATAGTTCCCCATCCCTGACTAGCGACGCTCTGCAGCAATTTCCCCAGCCCTACCTGAGCATCCCAGCCTGGGACCTTCTGCATGCAAAGCAGATGCTCTACTCACTGATTTTTGGATGCTTCCCTGACTGGGACACCTCTGTGGGAGGTGGTTGGGGAAAGGGCAGCTGGAGACTGGCATTCATCCTGTTAAAAATCCAATCTCCTCCTGAGAGCGGGTCTGCAGGTTTGACAGTTCTAATCATCCTAAAGATGAACATGCATTAGCGAGATTGAATTGACAGGACACACAGACACACCAGCCTTTGTGTGTGTGTGTGTGTGTGTGTGTGTGTGTGTGTGTGTGTGTGTGTCTTTTGGCAGGTGAATGAGCACAATCTCTCTGTGTCTCGTCAAAGTAGGGGAAGTCTGGCTCTTTCAGGGAACCAGAGGATAAGAAAGGATGCTTGACCCGCTGTTGTTGTTTAGTCATTTAGTCGTGTCCGACTCTTCGTGACCCCATGGACCAGAGCACGCCAGGCACTTCTGTCTTCCACTGCCTCCCGCAGTTTAGTCAAACTCATGCTGGTAGCTTCGAGAACACTATCCAACCATCTTGTCCTCTGTCATTCCCTTCTCCTTGTGCCCTCCATCTTTCCCAACATCAGGGTCTTTTCCAGAGAGTCTTCTCTTCTCATGAGGTGGCCAAAGTATTGGAGCCTCAGCTTCAGGATCTGTCCTTCCAGCGAGCACTCAGGGCTGCTTTCCTTAAGAATGGATAGGTTTGATCTTCTTGCAGTCCATGGGACTCTCAAGAGTCTCCTCCAGCACCATAATTCAAAAGCATCAATTCTTTGGCGATCAGCCTTCTTTATGGTCCAGCTCTCACTTCCATACATCACTACTGGGAAAACCATAGCTTTTACTATACGGACCTTTGTCCTATACTTGACCTGCTAGTCCTGCTCTATTCTGCCTCGATCAGACTCCACCAGGAGTCTGGGGTTCATTTATGAGCACCACAGTTTAAGAAGGATATGGATAAGCTGGAATATGTACAGATGTGGGTGACCAAGATGATCAAGGGTCTGGAAACAAAGCCTGGTGAGGAACAGTTGAAGAAGGTGGGTATGTTTAGCCTGGAAAAGAGAAGTCTGAGAGGAGAGACGATCGCCCTCTTCAAATATATAAAGGGCTGTCCCATAGAAGACAGAGCAAGCTTGTTTCCTGCTGTTCCGGAGGGTTGGACCTAAACCCATGAATTTAAGTGCCAAGAAAAGAGATTCCAGTTAAACATTAGGAAGATCCTTCTGATGGTAAGAGCTGTTCAGCAGTGGAACGGACTGCCTCAGAAGGTGGTAGACTCTTCTTCAGTGGAGGCTTCTAAACAGAGCTTGATTGGCCACCTGCCAGGGATTCTTTAGCTGTCATCCCTGCATTGCAGGGGGTCAGACTAGATGTGGCCCTTAGGGCTGCCCTCCAATTGTACACTTATAGGATTCTAAGGCTTTTAGGTATGCGGTAACATCCTTGCCAGTGGTCCTTTGCCTGCTGTTTCACCCTTCAGTGATATCTTTAGGAAGATGGAGGCAGGGAAGGGACACTTGCCTCTTGATTTTTACACTCATGATTCTTCCTTAACCAAAGTGCTGAAGGCAGGTAAATATTGGAAAATCAGCACATTGCCTCTCCCTTTTTCTGGCTTGCTGGGTCCCAGATGGAGCTTGCTCAGAGTTCTGCTGATGTCATTTTTACCTCTTTCTGCTTGCATCGATTTTTTCTTATGACTTCTCTGGCCCAAGGGCATGTGTGTTTGTGTGTGTTCATAGATGCCAAGGCGCAAACAGCTGCCTGGAATTCTTGAAGAATCTAGCTCAGAGCAATTAATTCCACCACAATGTGGAGCCCAGAGAGCCTGAAGGGACCAGAAGTTCATCCAACTTTAACGAGTGACACAGGACTGAAGATGCTCCCCTTCATGGGGTAAGACAGGTAGATCTGCAACAAATTGCTACAACGCATCTTCACTCCCCCGCTTTTTTTACTAAAGTGGCCAGCTACACATCCGACACACAGAAAAAGAGGGCGCTAGTGAGTTTTCATAAAGGTGCTAATTTATTTACCTTGGTGCACATTTTTAAAAAGAATGGTTATCATTTAAGCAGAACTGCAAGAACTCTCAGCATACCAGGGAAAGTGCTTGTGTAGAAATGGGCCTATTGTTACGATAATTATAATCTTTATAGTCATTGTCCCATACAGAACAACAAAATTGAAAAAATCTACATAAGACATTCAAAAACCAACAAGCCTACTATCCCAGCTATCCCAACCTGGTTAGCCCCCTAAAAACTCTGATACTCCATTTTTAAATACAATATACTCCCATAGAGACTCGTTGTTGTTGTTGTTGTTGTTGTTGTTGTTGTTGTTAATTGAATTTATATACCGCCCCATACCCAGAGGTCTCAGGACGGTTCACACCTAGTGTGCAAAGGTAAAATTTACATACATCACCCCACCCACTTTTGCCTCTGGCCCCGCCTACCACTAGCATGCGGCCCCTGGGAGGTTGGCCAGAAGGGAATGTGGCCCTTGGGGGGTGAAAACAGTTTCCTATTTTTTTCAGATATATTTTATTAAATTCCCATAAATTTCACATAAGCATTCCAATACATACTAGCTTTTTCTTCTGTTTTGTTGACTTCCCATCCTATCTTCCATGGTGTTTTTTATTTCTCCCTCTTGCCACACCCTGTCTTCTCTCTCTTATACCGTAACAACAGTACAATCTCTAATTCCTTCTGCTGCCCATAGTTCGAATCCTGCTCGCAAATTCATCATATTAAAGTATTTCTTTAAATAGTCCAAAAGAGGCTTCCATAAAGCAGTCATCATTAAGTTCTCTCATTTTTTCTGGTGATGTTAGGTGCCTTGAGGGGCCTCTATAGGCCTGAAAGGCAGGACACAAAAACACCTAAATAAATGTTCCTGGGCAGGCACTCCCCCCGCAACACCCTCCCCCCAAATAATAGCAAGGGAGAAACTTGAACAAGGATGTTAGATCTATCTAGCAGTTGGGAGTAAAGAGGATCAAGGCTATTTCTCCCTGCACTGCATCGCTTTCACCCAAAACAGCTTAGCCTGACAGGCAGATTGCTATCAGCAGTGTCTGGTTGTGGCACAGAATACTAACGTCGCAGTTGTATGCCTCCCGAGTGAGTTAAAGATCAGAGCAGGCTGCAGTGAGGACGCCAGCCAAGTTCACCGGGTTTCTTCTTGTACCAGAACAGCTTCTGATCACTCCCCGGGAGCGCTGCAGCGGAAGATACCAAGTTAAACGTCTGGGGTGCAAAAGGCTGGCTCCAAGGGAGTGGGGGACAGAATGTTCCATGTAAAGCTGACACACAGCACAGCACAGAATCGACTTGTTAAGAATTAAACCAGAATTCAGAAGCAGCAAAACACTTAGGCGCCATTTTGGCAAGTACAGTGGTACTTCAGGTTAAGAACTTAATTCGTTCCGGAGGTCCGTTCTTAACATGAAACTGTTCTTAACCTGAGGTACCACTTTAGCTAATGGGGCCTCCCACTGATGCCGCGTGGCTGCGTGATTTCTGTTCTCATTCTGAAGCAAAGTTCTTAACCTGAGGTACTATTTCTGGGTTAGCGGAGTCTGTAACCTGAAGCGTCTGTAACCAGAGGTACCACTGTAAGCTGTATATAAATAAATTATTATATTTCATGACGTACCTTTCATCCTCAAGTCCCAGGTTTTACAGCCCTAAAACCGACATTAAAGCAATTTAGAACAACAATTAAAAAAACAACACAGGGCTGAGTAAGCTAGAAGGACAATAAAGAAATGGAATTGGGTTGTGGGGGTTAAGCTACAGTTCTTAGGGTGGTTTTAACAGTCAGTCCCTCTTGACAGGGAACTCTGGAAATTGTGGCTCCATGAAGGGGAATAGGTTCCTCCTAGCAACTCTCAGCACTCTTATCAAATGACAGCTCCCAGAACTCTTTGCCAGAAGCTACGACTGCTTAAAGTGGCACTTCAAATCTGTGATGTCAATGTGGCCTGGGATTAGCAGGAACACGAGGAGGCCAACAGCAGGTGGCGCCAGAGGCAATGACAAGGGGCAATACCAAGACCAAGGAGGAGGGAGCTGATAAGTAGTGCTGCCTCCCTCAATCTCCTTGTAACTAAAAAGGCAACATGATGGGGACTGGCTGAGAGTGGTGGGGTAGGGCCTCATTCGCCCTAATGGAGCAGCTGCCTCTGTACCGAATCACAGCTTCTCACAAGCATCTCAACAGGAAAGGAGAAAGTCACAAAGTCAATCTGATCTGAGCTTCTAGGGAGCCAGTGTGGTGTAGTGGTTAAGAGCAGTAGACTCGTAATCTGGTGAACCGGGTTCGATTCCCTGCTCCTCCACATGCATCTGCTGGGTGACCTTGGGCTAGTCACACTTCTCCGAAGTCTCTCAGCCTCACTCACCTAACAGAGTGTTTGTTGTGGGGGAGGAAGGGAAAGGAGAATGTTAGCCACTTTGAGACTCCTTAAGGGGAGGAGGAAAGGTGGGATATCAAGTCCAAACTCCTCCTCCTCCTCTTCTTCTTCTATGTTCAGGAGCAGTGTACCTTGGATGACTGTGGACCTCCCAGGGCATTTTGGAGAAAGGAAGCAGGGCTGGATAGACACTTCATCTGATCCGGCAAGGAAATGATGTTCTTAATGTGGGCAAAAAGACTATGACAGGAAGCTGAAGACAAAGAGCAAATAACTCTGTTCCTGTCTTATCACAGGTGGTCAAGAAAGGAGCAGACCATCAACAAGCCAGCCCATCACAGGATGCTGCAAACAGGTGTCTAGTATGCCAGACTCAAGGGCCATGGATGGATGGCTTGTGGTGGTGTACGTGTGTTTGAGAGAAAGGGAGAGAAAGAGAATGTGTGCATGTGTTAATTCATTAGGGGCCATATACTTCAGGGGGAGAGTTTTTGCTTTGCATGCAGAAGGTCTCAGGTTCAAGTCCTGACATCTCCAGAGAGAGCAGACACCTGTGTCTGATATCCTGGAGAACTGCTGGCAGTTGGTGTAAAGACAATACTGAGGTAAAGGTAAAGGTAAAGGACCATTAGGTCCAGTCGCGGATGACTCTGGGGTTGCGGCACTCATCTCGCTTTATTGGCCAAGGGAGGCGGCATTTTGTCCGCAGACAGCTTCCGGGTCATGTGGCCAGCATGACTAAGCCACTTCTGGCGAACCAGAGCAATGCACGGAAACACCGTTTACCTTCCCGCTGGAGCTGTACCTATTTATCTACTTGCACTTTGTGCTTTCGAACTGCTAGGTTGGCAGAAGCAGGGACTGAGCAACGGGAGCTCACCCCGTCGCGGGGATTCGAACAGCCAACCTTCTGATCGGCAAGCCCTAGGCTCTGTGGTTTAACCCACAGCACCACCCGTGTCCCTAATACTGAGGTAGATGGACTAAATTGTCTGGCCAAGGCAATTTATTCTGTTCTTAATTGGTCAGATCATGAGATAGATGTGGACGTGGGGATTGCTAAAGACACATAGATTCGGCATATAGGTCCAGAGTCACAGATCTGCATATGCTAAAATATATGCATAGAGGCAAGTTTAGGATTTAAATGTCACAGAGGGCTGGCCACTGCATTTTCCTAAGATAAATAACCTCAGCTAAATACTTCATTTGTATCCCATCCCAAATCAGGCTCTCATCAGTTCATTTACCCTAAATTAATTCCCCCAACAGATCTTGCTCCAAATCAATTTAATTCCCATTCAATTAACCCCATCCATTACCCCCCACAACTCAAATTATCTCTAGATAAAGTAATTTGAATCTATTTACTTCTTCAGCTCAGGAGCTGCCCAAACCATTTTGCTGCCTGAGGCGAAGGACAAGGGCATTCCCCATTCTGTGCACAAAATCTGACTAGACTGGTAGTTGAGTCTTACTTCAGTGCTGGTGAACAGAGTCCTCTACCACATCCTAAGGCAGCCAGGCAGCAGACCGCATGGCACACATTTCTAGCTGATTTCTGCCCCTCAGAATTTGCCGCCTGAGGCAGCTGCCTGATGGAAAGACTGGCCCTGCCTCAGATTTACATGCTACCTAGTAATGTAGATCACTGTTCAATTCCATCTGATCTGAGTTCAGTAAAAGGTAAAGGAACCCCTGACCATTAGGTCCAGTCGTGGCTGACTCTGGGGTTGTGGCGCTCATCTCGCTTTATTGGCCGAGGGAGCCGGTGTACAGCTTCCGGGTCATGTGGCCAGCATGACTAAGCCGCTTCTGGCAAACCAGAGCAGTGCACGGAAATGCCGTTTACCTTCCCGCCAGAGCGGTACCTATTAATCTACTTGCACTTTGACGTGCTTTTGAACTGCTAGGTTGGCAGGAGCTGGGACCGAGCAATGGGCGCTCACCCCATCGCGGGGATTCGAACCACTGACCTTCTGATCAGCAAGTCCTAGGCTCTGTGGTTTAACCCACAGCGCCACCCGTGTCCCCTTTCTGAGTTCAGTACCCACCCACAAACCCTCAATAAAGCTTGGGAGTCTGTACCCCACAGGTCCAGCCTTAGTACGGCCCCCAGGGGAGAGGTGGTGGTGGGAACATCTTTGACTGAGCCAGGCAGAGCAGCACAGGAAACCATCTCAGTTTGGTAACAGTTTTCGGTTTGTTTGGTTTTTTGCAAAGCAGGTTGCACGACAAAAGATCTGAAGACAATGATCGCTTCCATTTATGCAACTGCTGAAGTGTGGGGAGAGGACTAGAGGCAGCCAACTGAGGGTCTAGCCCAAGGGTTTTGCATTGGAAAGGAGATGCACTATGTGAGTGTGTGGGTCAGTCTGCACAGAGGGAGAAATCAGTCACGATTTCATTTGCTCCAACTTTATGTTTAGCCTGGAGAAGAGGTTAAGACAGGTAGGATGCCCGTCTTTGAATATTTGGGGGGCTGCCACATAGACGAAGGAGCAGCTTGGCATTCTGTTGGCTCTGGAAAGCAGGTCCCAAATGGACAGTTTCAAATTCCGAGCAATAGGATTCTGATTAAGCATTAGGAAGAGCTTTCTGGGGGCAACACTTGACTTGCTATAAGGCAGATTCTAAGTTAGGAAGAGTCCCTTTTCCTTTCAGAGAAGAAATTAGAATTAGATGGTCTGACTTTGTACAAGGCAAGTTCCTATGTATCCGTATCATGAACCTCTTTAGGAAAATTGGAGTGTTACAAGAGATGCGTGCCTTAATTTTCCCGGTCATTTCTGCAAAATTGCATTTTCAGAATGCATGTCTGGGAAATGCCGTGCCAGTCCTTGAAATGAATGGGAAGAAGTCTGTGGCAAATAGGAGCAAGTCTCAGGGGTCAGCAAACTTTTTCAGCAGGGGGCTGGGCCACTGTCCCTCAGACCTTGTGGGGGGCCAGACTATATTCTGAAAAGAAAAGAAAAAAGAGCAAATTCCTATGCCCCACAAATAACCAAGAGATGCATTTTAAATAAAAGGACACATTCTATTCATGTAAAAACACGCTGATTCCTGGACCGTTGACGGGCCAGATTTAGAAGATGATTGGGTCGGATCCAGCCCCTGGCCTTAGTTTGCCTGCCCATGAGCAAATGGTTCTAGCAGCTTTTGAGAATGGTAGGGTGGAAGGCAGGGAGGCGAACAGCAGGTGGCGCCATAGCCAGTGACAGGTGGAGCCAACGGTATTGTTTTGCCCCCATTCTCCTCCTCCCTGCTGATTTCTGCAAGGGCGACACTGAGACTAAAGAGGAAGAAGAAGCTGACAGCCAGGACTACCTCTGAACTGGTTGTAAGTAGGTAGACTTGGGAAAATCCAGACAACAGGATTTGTCCTAATGGACCAGCCTCTGGGGAGTACGGCTCTTCACAAAGAGCAAATAACCTATGGGACTCATTGTCACTGGCAACCGGTACAATTGATAGTCAATGCCTTTTAAAAGATGTTGTATTTAATTCTTGCCTAAAGCAAAAACAATCAGGAGATGCTGAGAGATGTCTAAAGCACTTGATACCTGAATCCTGATCCCACACCCAGAATTTACGTTTTCACATTCCACAGATAGAACTGCTGTGAAATTCCTTGTTATTGTCTTTTAAACTTCATCCCTGAAAAGGAGGGCACAGCCATGAGCCAGTATCAAATAGCACAGAACAAACAATCCTTATTTTTGGCACATTATGCATCGCAGCTCAGAAGGCAGAGTGTGCTTGACAAAAATAAAACACCACACACGCATGCAACATAATTCATTGTGTCATCATTGGAGACACAGAAATCCAGAGGTTTTCTTTAACACTCAGTGACAAAGACTGACAGAGTGTCTTCTAGAGGAACTTATAATTTCTTTAAAAGCTGGTATTTGCAAATTGACTTATTTATAGTGCCTGCCTTCTCAGAGTCTTTGTGTTCCACATTTTGCTGTGAGGTTTTTATCTGTTCTCTCACACAAACAATGCAGGGAATTGGCCAAATAAATTCTTTGGCATCTTTTAAAGAAATAAATGTGGTGTGTTTCAGATGGAACTGGCTGGATGGGTCCAGGGTGAGGGGCCAGTTCTCTTCGCGATAGAAAGCTTTTTGGATTTGTCTTTCTAAAGGTGAGGGAGTGGTGGTGGTAGGGACATTATAGAGGCTGGGGCATCTGACTTACTGGCATTCTGTGGCCCTCCAGGTGTGGCTAGACTCATCACATCCCTTGCCCAGCTCAACCAGTGACCAGGTAGAATGGGAGAGGCAGCCCAAGAACTCTGGGAGGGTTGACTGCTGAGGCCTCTCCATCTTGCCTTCCCGGAAATCTACCACCAGAGATCATAGAATCACATGATTTTAGAGCTGGAAAAGACCCCAAGGATCATCCAGTCCAACCCCCTGCAATGCAGGAATATGCAGCTGTCCCATACAGGGATTGAACCTGCAACCTTGGTGTTATCAGCAGCATGCTCCAACCAGCTGAGCTATCCAGACTTAAGTGCAGAATTCTGAAGCTGTGACCTTTCACAGTGGTAACTTGGGATGTGAACGGGATCTGTTCTGGAGCCCCGTTCGCATCCTGAATGGACCGTAAGACGCGACGGCGCGTTTTGCCACTTCCGCGCATGCGCATGTCATTTTGAGCGTCTGCGCATGCGTGAGCAGCGTAAACCCAGAAGTAACGCGCTCCGTTCCTTCTGGGTTGCCACAGAACGCAACCTGAAAGCGCTCAACCTGAAGCACATTCAACCCAAGGTATGACTGTATTGGCATAGCTGTCAACTTTTCCCTTTTCTTGTGAGGAATCCTATTCAGAATAAGGGAATTTCCTTTTTAAAAAAGGGAAACGTTGACAGCTATGTATATTGGAAGTATTGGGATTCAGCTCAGCTTCCACTGAAGACTGACGAGTCTGCCAGGGGAGAAAGGAGATAGAGAGAAGAACCTCCAAACTTCCTCGCCTGTCCTTTATTACTTGTTACATTTATACGACACCTATCCTCTAAGGGACGTGGGTGGCGCTGTGGGTTAAACCACAGAGCCTAGGACTTGCCGATCAGAAGGTTGGCGGTTCGAATCCCTGCAATGAGCTCCCGTTGCTCGGTCCCTGCTCCTGCCAACCTAGCAGTTCGAAAGCACCTCAAAGTGCAAGTAGATAAATAGGTACAGCTCCAGCGGGAACGTAAACGGCATTTCCGTGTGCTGCTCTGGTTCACCAGAAGCAGCTTAGTCATGCTGGCCACATGACCTGGAAGCTGTACGCCAGCTCCCTTGGCCAATAAAGTGAGATGAGCGCCGCAACCCCAGAGTCGGCCACGACTGGACCTAATGGTCAGGGGTCCCTTTACCTTTTTATCCTCTAAGGAGCTCGAGGTGGCATACAGAGTACTTCAGCTACCCCCATTTTAGCCTGACAACAGCCCTGTGAGGGAGGTCAGACTGCGAGGCCCAAGGTCATCCAGTGAGCTGTTATGGCCAAGTGGGGTTTTGAACCTGGGCCGTCCAGGTCCTAGTC